TTGCACCCCGATGTATGTACTTAGCTTCGAGGTTCTGCAGTAACTGGAGTTTTAGTAGCTAAGCGTACTCTCAACTTACAATTAGATGCACGATCATTTCGAATTAACGACTCGGAGCAACTTTAAAGTCGTATAATAATATACTTATATTTTTCAGGGATAGTATTCAGTCTTGAAATCAAAATTTGTTGAATTTAAGAAAAGATAACTTTTTTAAAAATTAAATAAAAGACACTGGTAAGATATTAGATAGCCGTATTAGAAATAAATTTCGGTTTCATTTTGTTCTCATCAAGTGTATCGAATCATCTATTAATATATGTAAAAAAGTGCGTTTTATCAATAACTTTTATTTAACTAATGCCAAAATATATGTATAAATTCCCCCAAAATGAACTTCAATGGTGCAATTTGAATGTTGCTATATCATAGTGGTTTTAATGCAATTGAGAAAGTAGGAATATCTAGAACTGGACTAATTAGAAATCAAATTATAATCGCATTATAAACCATATTATCAAGTCTGATCTTTTTTAACATTGTGTATCATGAATCATGGCTTTGAAGCAGTTTCTTTATAATAGGTTTGATAATTTATTTTCACATAACAGTAATTGCGAACGACGTTTGGAAAGAATTTTCTAACATCATGCATATTGATGTGGTTAGCATGAATTTAAAAAATTCTTCTCGTTTCTTTGGGGCTCGATTAAACATCCAAATGCATGCGCATGTTTTCACGATCAAAGTGCACGCAATTAGACCAAGGATGTGTTCTTTCTGCGGTTTGATCTGTTTCCACGCGATCGCGTAACCCAGCCAGAGGATAAAAAAGAAAAATATTTGTCGAAGGAAACCGATGAACGTTTTACGATACCGTTCGAAGGTGAAATCGGAAAACAAAGTTTGAACGAGAAGATTTTCAGGTTACACCTTGACCGTAGTTCGACGCACGAAATTTAATGGAGAGAGAAAGAGAAGGTTAACAAAATCTTGGAAGACCAAATAAATTCTTGTTGGCCAGTTTTATGCTCGTAAAAAAAGGAGGACATTGCCTATTGGGCATCATTTGAGAAGTGTTTGCAACGATGTCTTTATTGTTTTGTAAATACAGCGCCGATTCGAACAGCCTCGACGTTTATAGCCCTTGCGCGATTAACCGTATAGTTTATTACTTCGTATTTCGCGGCGAAGGACAATTAATTTCGTCAGTTTTGACTCATGCTGTCCACTCCTTCGTCCACAATTCTTTAATATTTACGGAAGTTCTGTTTCCATTTAGGCGTCTCGTTGCTACCAATTTTAGGCAAATTTCATTCACGAATAACGAATACAAATTTTAGATTTATTCATAAAGAATCTTTTCTTCTTTGCTTTCCTAAATGTCGATTTAAAAAATCAGTCAATGAATTGCGAGTTACGAAGCTTACGAATGAATCAGAAATTTTTATTCGATATTCGCGAATAAAATTTGCCCTTCTCCAGTTGCTGCTATATTTTTGCAAATTTTCTAGCAAGTCAAGAACGTGGAGTTCTGAGTCACTGTATCTCGATTAAAACAGTCTCGAAAGTCTTAGACATTTTGCAAATCTGGAATATTTTGAAAGTCTCTTTAGAATATCTTGAGAGTTTTAAGTGATGTAAAGATTTTGGCGTAGACAATATTTTGATTGGAACTGATGATTTCAGTTTGCAAATTTAATAATAGTTGTCGCAAACACTTCGCTGTTTACCTTACCAGGAAAGTGTTGCCTTCCCACGCGTTGCCCTTTTTATGAAATTATTTGTGCCACGTTAATCGATAAACGTTTCGTGCCAGTATAGCGCAGAGATAAGGTCACGGTCGTTCGTTTGTTTCGTCGTTGGACTGTTTCAGCAACGCATGTGGGTCATGGTTCGATCTCATCGCTCGCTGGTAGCGATGGGACCAATCCAATCGCATACTCATTAATACCGATATACAGCGAGCGTCACTTAAAATCGTACACTCTGATATTTACTAGATTTCTGCTCGAGAAACATTGCCATTACAGATTTTCAATGAAGATAATTTGAAAACAAATACCATTAATATATCTTCATTTAATATGGAACCATTATAAATTGAAAGCTTCATTTGTAATGCGCAAATTAAACACATTATGTTTCCCACATTCTAATTGGAAAATAAAATAACGTTTACAACTCCTGTCACGGGACGTTTCTCTTCCATTATTTCACATTTCAGTATAATTGGCAACGAAACATCTGGTTGACAAATTAGAGTAAGAGAATCACACTTATATTGTCGAGACACATATTTTTATTGAAACTCGTCACGTTACTGGTTACAATAAAACATAATTTTTCTTTTAATTAGGATATACATTATCAGGAATGCCTTTAGATTAATCGAATTCAACATAAATTACTAACAAATAATATTGTGGCTCCCGCACTCGCTAGCAGAGGGAGACGCACACCCTTCCTTTCTCGCAAGTGCTCGACCGTCCACCTATTCGTATATATACGCTCCTCAACTCAGCATTGAATGTCCCGCCGTCTAAGGCAGGACTTGCTAGAATTGCTCTATTGATGAGTAACAGCAAAAACCGCCACTATATTTATGAGTTCTGCAACTGTAAATATGAAATCTTAAAACCAAGTTGACGACTTTCACGAATCTAGACGGACGAATGGGTCAAAATTGACAGAATTCCGCAGAAAGACGGTTATAATAGCTATTTCTATGAAAGCGCTGATAAAATGAATTCTGTAACTATAAAGTAATGGAATCTTAAAACCAAGTTGAAGACTTTCATAAATCTAGTGTTAAATTTAGATGGATGAATGGGTAAAAATTGATAGAATTTCGCAAAGAGACGGTTAAAATCGGAGCTTTTACGGTTCGTATAGTTGTCTTGACAGTTTGAGCGCTACTATAGTTGGTTTCTATTACCGATGAATGACCCCCGGTGGTTTTTCTAAAGCACGCCTCCGCGGTCCGCGCGGTTCAACCTGGTACATCGTTGGCAAATATGATAATAACATCCGCCCACGGCAATTTGGACGTCGTTGCACGCGCGCGCCAGTCAATTAACGAGCATCACGGCGAAACGATTCGAATGCAATTTGAGACGCGCAATCATTGCCCATTAGGTCCCGGTAATTTTATACGGTAAATCTGGTCGCGATAACCGGCCGAGCGAATTTAATTATTAATAACTATGGAGGGAGGCGCGGTTTTCCGTCGTTGCGAACGAAATTTTCCGTCAGATTGCGACGGATTAATTCAATTTTAAATTCGTCAGCGGCATTTCCGGGCATGAGTCTCGTTTTCAGCGATAGAACGGGAACAGTGCTCGTTTATTTTGCGAACACAGAATGTCGAAAGGCTCGTGACGTCAACGATGGTGCCACGCGAACGAATCCATAAATCCTCTGTTGCAGTTTATGCTCGCAAAGAGAGTTTACGATCGCGGACGAGCGTTTTTTTTAAACATTATCGCTCAAATTGTAGGAGCCGGTGAGTGTAAACACTAACTGTGAAAGATTAGCCGTATCTGACCGGCCATTTTTGTGAAAAATGGTCTCGAACATTAAAATTTCAACATTGCGAGATCGAGTCGACTTTGCACGCGAACGAAAGCTTATGATAATAGGAACGAGAAATCCTTGTAGGCTAATATTGTTGTTAGAATAAATCATTTCGGTAAAAAATTGAAATTCTTCTTTTCACCACTTTCTGTAGAATATGAGCAATTCACATGATTTATAAGAGTCATGATGTTGAACACGATTTGGCATTTTTATTTTAATATCGTTTTCAAATTACTTTTCTTTCCAATCGTATGGATGAAAACATTTTAATATTCGAATTAAGAGTATTTTTTGAAATCTTTTCTCGAAATTTTACGAAAGATTTAAAATTATAACTTTCGATTGGGTAAGTCGATTTAGGTGATTGAAAGTGGAAATAGTTTGGCGAGAAAAATTAAGGAATCTTAGAAAATTCAAGAAAGTGAAATTTTATTAGTTTGAAAAATTTCTTTGAATAACTGCAACAGGAGTTGATATTCGTTCTTTTAATTTTTTCTACAAACAGTGAAATTATACAAAAATCACCATCAACAACTATACACATATAAAATAACATTTACTCTACATAAGATATTACAAAAAGATGAAAATAAGTAATGAACAAAATATTATTCAGTTTTGATTTAATGTGGGTACTAATAATGAAACAGTGACAGGGAAAAGCCAATCCATGTAAACATGGTGATCTGAAATGGCTTCCATCATTATTCTATGCATTAGTAGATGTTGCAGTAAATGCATATTCTTTATTTATGGCTGTTCATCCAAATGGGAATACTTTTACAAAAAAAAACTTGAGCTCTCACTGTTCACAAAAGTCATTTATTTTTGGCCACTCTATAATTTGCATAGTTTCATCCAAATTGTGTGGGGGACGAGACTTTCTGTGAATGTTCTCTATGAGTGCCATTTCATGTTCTATGATTCCAAATGCCTCTGGTGTCCCTTCCTTTGCTAATAAAACTCTGCATGCTAGACGTAGTATCCTTTTATAAAAACGTTTTTATTTTACCCTTCGAAGGTACTGCCATCGTTAATAAATCTTCGAATATTAACGACTTCTGATGGCAATTTCGATAGTAATGCTTGTTCCATGTTCCAATGTCTTTTCTCTCTTTTCACAATATTAATGAACTTTCAAGTCTTCAGTAACGCTGTTTGCTTTCTTCATCTATAATATTGAAAAGACATTTTTCTTCATTCTTAAAATTTATGTCATATTTTCGTGCCTAGCTTAAATTCCAAAGTCCAATTATTTCGAAGCTTTCTACTTTAAATGTGGGGATTCATCTAGTTACAACTTTTTGCAAATTCTTCCAAACATTTTCATGTCTCTCAATTCTTTCGTATTCGATTTATTTTTCTATTAGATGACCTATTGTTTGGAATTGAAGTTAATCGAATTCTGTCGTTTGTTTCAGAGTTTGCAGCAGCCACGCTCGCAGTCGGAACGACAACTATCAGGTGAGTGTTCAACGATCGTAACACGTGTTACATCATTCCTATACAGTAAAGCTGAAATTGGTCGTAGCTCTGCAGTTCCGCGTAACTATTTCCGAGCCAACTAAAATTTTAATTGGCATCTGCGTTGCCTCATATTCTCTGATCTCTGCTATCAAACAGAACAATTTATGTATGCGAGATAGAACCTCAGGTTGCTTTCTAGCTTCAAACTTCGTAGGCGAATATTCTTAGAAAATTGACACAAAAACTTTTTTTGGTGTGTCACCTAAGATTAGATATCCGTATGGAACATATAGAATTGATTATTTTTATTTACATATTTCAGCGTTTTATATTTCTCCCTTGTTTTGCTCAGAATGATATTTTTTGGAAATAAATTATTTTCCAAACTCTTATTCGATAGAGTTAGTAGGGTACGATACTTTCTGAAAGACAAAGTTAAATATCACATTTCAGTAAACGAGATTGAAAATGTTTAATTAGTTAACTCCTTAATACTAGAGTCAAACTCGATAATAATTATTTCCCTTCGTGTTCAACCTTTCACTTTCCACTTTATTATATCAAAAACCTAAGATAAATGGCAATCGACAAAAGACACATCGTTACGTGAAACAAATCCAACAAAGAAAACTGATGGTTGAAGAAAATGTGAGCGTTGAGGGATTAATTAAGGGTAGTTTCGAACGTTCGTTGCTTGGAGAACTATTGCATACCGAAAACCTAATAAATTGCAACTGTCCGTGGTGCCCGTGCCGGTGCACTGAATTTCACGTTCGCCTTCCACCGAAGGCGACCCTGTCATTCCCTGGCAGCATTTTCGAAAATCACTCTCCTAGTCCACGGCCATTGAAATATCGCCCGATGCGTCCAGCTCCTCGGGACTGTGTCATGCATGGCCTCGCCTTTTTTCATTTCCGTCGGGCTTCCTCTTTGTTGGCCGAGTGATTTATTCGATCGAAGGCCGAGGCAATTTGTCGCCCCCAGCCAGAACGAAAGTAGCCTGCGCGTCTGCGGGACTCGCGTAGTTCGATTCTTAATATTACCCTCGGGTCAGCACGCTCCGTACCGGAAGCTTTAATCACGGCGACGCTTCGAGAGTCGCGCCTCGAGAAAGCAATTAGCGCCGGTTCGCGAACGCGTCGATAATTAATTAAACTTTCGCGATCGATTCCACCGCTATTCCCAACCGACGAACTGCTCCGCGAAGCAGGAGTGCACGCACGTGCCCAAACGACGGTGCTCAGCTTTATTTCGGGGCATCGTTTCGCGACCCTTTGACGACCACCTTGCGCGGAGAAAGCTAACCGGAAGTCGCTGGACCGACGGAAACCAGAAGAAAACGTACCGCCTGTGAACGCTCTCCTTTGCACTTTAATCTTCGATCCAACAATGTGTCAAGACATACATAGGCTAGGGTCGTTTCTGACCCACGAGTTCGTTGGATGTCCGAAACTAAACTGCTGGTTTCTATTTTTGTATTGAAACACGCGTATTTATTCACAGAATTAGGGTACCTGTAGAGTGACCATGTTTATATTTTTACTATCTTTGGGTCTCGTTATGATTATCGATGCGTAATTTTTTCAGATTTTTCCAAGCGATAGAACATAGTTAAAAGAATTAAAATTCGATATTTCTTTGGAAACTTCAATATAACATCGGCGTTTCAAAACTTTTTCAGCTGCAGTAAAAAATTGTGAAAACATTCTGAAGCGTGTACGCCTTTGGGTAGGATGTCCATGATTTTTTTCATAATTTTTTATTCGATACAACGAGAGAAACGAAGCTTGAATTGTAAATTACGTTTTGCCCTTACTTTGACGGTAGAAATGGTGGAACATGGTTAGAAAAATTAAAATCCTTGTTTGTTTAGATTCTTGTCTTAAATATGACTATGTTTATATTATATTATTAGTAATGTAAAATACAATATCTTGAGATATTTTGAAAAGGTGTCATAGTCAATGAGACTAGAAAACTATATTTCCCTTTAAGAAAATACTAGGAATAAATAGTTCACTAGTAATTATTATATCAATAGTTGTTGACGTAACCGATACTTTATAGGAGATTTGTACTGTAAATTTGTGCAATTTTATTCAAAGTTAATTTATATGCAAAAGAGTTGAATGTGTGTTTAACTGGGGACAACGAAACAAGTTGATCAGAAAATAAATATTCATGAGAAACAAATGTGATTGCTATGCATTAACAATTGTGTTGCTAACTTGTGTTGAAAAATTGATGACCAGTGTGATCTAAATTGCCAATTTTTGCACTTATATTATTTGACCCTCCATTTTGAAGCGCCATTTTCGGAAAATGTTACGTAGAAATAAAAGGTTAAGAATCATTGGTCTAATCTACAATGTATTAGACCGTAAGATCATCGTCGATTAAAAGAAAATGAAAGAAAGAGGTCGTTTCGCGGTGAAAATAGGTTCAATGAAAATACACGCCATATTGAATGCTACGCGCGCTTTTATGTCGTCGTTGTTACAAAACCCATTGGGTCGATACTTCGTCCACTATTTCGCGAACTACTTTGCAGATTGTGTCTCCATACAGAGGTAAAGAAGGTTGATAGAGAAGAGAACATTGCTAGGAGGATCCGTAAATTGGATTTATGCCTGTTCCGCGGCGGTCTGATATCAGAAATTGATTCTACGCCGACGTCATTATCAGGGAACGTCTCAGACATTGTTTCGGAAATACGGCGTGTATCGATCTTGGTCGGTGGAAACGGTAACTTTATACCTGCAACGGAGCGTGTCGGCGCGGATTAATGTTAAGATTATTCGTTTCCATCCTTGGAAGATGGCGTCGAATGAGATCGCATATTTCCGCGCAAAGAATGTGTGTCAGCGGGTGTTATGAATTCAGACGCGCGCGTTAGAAACGCGGACGTCGCGGCCGAATTTGAATATCAGGTCTGCAATTATGCAAATTCAACGTCGTGATTTATTGAGACTTTTATAGGGTAAAAACCCATATAGTAATACGTTTCGTAGACCCGTGTGCTCGTGGTTCTCCGAGACGATAAAATTTTCATTTCGAAGGAGAGAACAACACTGTTTTTGGTGTACAATTACTATCGAAGCACTGTTAAAAGCACAGTAATACGGTAATACATCGTTTATTTATCGATGAATTTTATAGGATACGAAACAGTGTAACAATACGTTTCCATTATGAGTCTTTGAAACGATATCGTATTTTCAATGGAATATCAACGCCATTCTCGGCTTTCATTTTGTTTCAAATGTCATAACTCGTTTAATTTGTATAGAAATGAATCTTATAGCGTGGAAAGCAATATAGAAATACATACATACGGTGTCATAACGTATTTTTAATAATGAGTCAATGCAATTTTTTTGGTTATTTTTTCTTTCAGATATATCACATATTAAAAATTCTGCAAAATTTTGAATTATATAGAATAGAACACAATATAGTAATGAGTATATTAGACCTTTGTTTATTGACATATTTTCGAACAAAATGAAAATTAAACTGCTGCAAGATATGGTCACAAGTTATTCAGTTCATTTATTAATAAATTTTATAGAATAGAAAGCAACGTAAAAATACGTATCATAAACTATGTTCGAAATGACTATAAGACGATCGTATTTTCAATGAAGAATCGATGCCATTTACGACGTACTCTTGAAGAAATGCCATTTATCAAAGTGCTGTAAAACCTTGATGACACGTTGTTAAATATATTCGTGAACGAATTTTATAGGATAGAAAGTTACGTATGTTAATTATTGCTCATTAAGATGTTCGTGTTTTCAAAAAGCATCGGTGCCATTTTCTATTTTCGGCATACTTTTAAAAGAAGTCGAAAATACGTCGACTTTATATAGAAATAACGTGCGAGTGTTTCTTTGTTTAGAGAAAAATCTCTTTTCAAAATGAAATCGAACAAAAATCTCGAATATTTTACAGAAAAATTAAAAAGAAAATCGGCTTGACAGTCGATTCAAAAGGAAAGTTTATTTCTTTTATTCGCTAGATTTGGTACGCAATATTGTTTCTATAGTCTTCCGATTGACTCTAATACGAATAGTCGAATCGTGAAAACGCTTTAAAGAATAAAAAATCGCCAAATGTCGTCTTGTTTAATCAGTTAGCGAAGTACACAGTTTATCGTGAAATATGACATTCGCGTTTTAAACGAAATTATCGAAGATGCTCTCAGCGTTTCGACGCAGTAATTAAAAATCGATGTCATGAAGCACGCTGCAAGTACATGAAGTTTGAGCGCTACGAGGCATTGAGTACTTCGCCATTTCCATATCAAACCGATTGATCAATATTCAACGACGAATATTCAAAGCCACTTAAATGCAAAATAAATTTTATTCCATGTTTTCGATTTATATTTGTTCACTTTTTCCGTTCTGTGGCTTATTGTCAAACTTTCTGCATAGATATTCCTTAAAACATGATGAAGGAATTTTGCCACCATTGATAATAAATATGTAGCTTCTAATATTTTCTCTTGATATTTGATTTCTCTCAAATTTGATACAATAAAGTCGTATTATTATCATATGTCACTTCTACGCGAAAAGGCACGCAGGATATTTCGTTTCAAATAATTCCAAAATTAATTTCAAACGATACACCAAAGTTGTGTCAGTCGTGCCAGAATCGTGCACCCGTTACACGTAGGATTAATTAGGAATACGTTTATAAGCGTCAAGGTTTGTCGTATATAGAAATTCAGATGAAAAGTGGATCAAGTCTACTTCAATAAACCGCTGTTAGCGCGGTCTCAAATCGGCGTAAAACTCGCACGCTAATGAATGCGGTTGCCGCATTCGTGAACTATTAATCAATTCGTGATTTATACATTTGATAAATTCATTAATTCGCTCATAAAGTAAGACAGTTTTATGGTACAGCGAGTTCTGGTCGCTTTGGTTGTTCCTCTTGCATTCGTGCAAAAAGAAAGTATGTTTGCTACAAATTAGGTGAAAGTT